TATCTTGGACGTAGTCATACCTAAACCAAAAATAAATAAATAAATAAAATACTATGTGAAATATCTTGGGTGTAGGGGACTCCTACCTAAAGCAAAAAACAATAAAAAGAAATAAAAATAAAATAAAATTCAATACATACAAACCTCAACGTTCAAAGGTGATGAAAATTCCTTATGAACAAAGTGTACAAGAAAGGGCAGGAAATTAATGGTATAACTTGTGATTTACCTCATTCGGTGATGGGTTATTGTGGACTTAGGATTAGTCCGTCGTAAGCTAAAAAACCTAATGTATCAAAAAAGAAAAAAGAATAATGTTATTTTTTCAATTCTTCTTGTACTTTTTAATGTTCACATTTTGACTTGACAAAACATTCTTTTTATTCATTAATAGGTTAATTGACCAACCTCACCTAGTGTTTAAAAATATATTTTGACAAAAAAAAAAGTGTTTAAAAATATATATATGTGCCTCGAAAGAGGTGGATGGATAAGTGGGTGAAGTATGATTTTTGTGCATGAAAATTATGCGTTCAATTCTTACCAACACTCTCTTGGTCAAGATGAACTGCCTAAAGTCTTCCTAGTGTGATTTAACTTTTCTATGTGACTTACTCGATGTATATTTTCAAATTAAATTGCGGTGTAACGATATCCCAGCAACTCCAATAGATAGTTAAATTTGAAATATTGTAATTATCGAGTCAAATATTTAACTAACTCAGTTGGAGTTGCCTCTAATATTTTTGTAAATATGATAATAATGATATGGAAATGATGATGATTATTGATTTTTTTTTTAAAGTAAATTTCTTTTCTTACAGCACAAGAAAGCAATGCAACGTTTGAAAAATGTGGAGAGCAGAGTGGATATTGATGGCAAAGATTGTGACTCTTCGACAACCGACTCGAAAGAACCTTTCTTGGGGAGTACTCTACTCTTGAAGACATCTTCCCAAACAATTAAACAAATTAAGATTTGAAACATTATAAATTGATAGATATATATATTTTAGATGCATTTGATAAGATATCAAGACTATGTGGTCTAATAGTACTCAGGTTGAATTTTTATTTGAAAAGTTATGAGTTCGAGCTTCAGTGGAGGTGTTATTGATTCTTTGTGAGCCAGTAGCATTCAGCTTGGTTTTGCTAATTTTTTTTTCATTATATATTATATATATATGACATATATACACTTGTAGACTAGTTTGATACTTTGAATCTTTGGATGATTGAAGTATTTGAGTATTTCATATTTGAGTATTTTTAATTTTTAATATTGTTTTAATGTTGAGTTATGAATTATTATTATTTCATTTATTTGATTGAATGTTGAAAACAGCTTCATTAAAATTGTCAAACTGTAAGTCTGCCACTGTTTTTTTGGTGCCCACCTAGCGCCGCCTAGGCATTGTCCGGACGACCGACTAGCACCTAACGCTTAGCGCCTACTGCAACCATACTAGTTAAAAGTATATGTAGTATTTGTACCTAAATGATCAATCAATTTTAATATAAAAATCAACTAAGGAGAGAATTTGTCTTGTCAAAAGTCAAAAGTATGTGTAGATATTGTACAAGGTCGACTTGCTCTGAATTAACAATCAAATAACAAAAATACATTATCTTAGACGAAATCTGTCTCGTCAAAAGTACGTCTAGTATCAACACAAGCTAAGGTCAATTTGTTCTATTGATTTTTAATAATTAACCTCTATTTTTACGAGTGTTATTTCTCATATTATTAAAAAAGCAATCTCAACATATGCAATGAATATTATATTCCTTCTTCCTTAAGCTACTGTGAAAGAGATTGAAGTGGTTATGAATGCATATTGATAAGACACAACTCAAAAGAATGGGACACTAATGCTATCCGACACATTTTTAGTCAAAGAGGTGTCAATGAGTTAATCTTTAGCATTCCCCTTTCAAAGGAGGTAAGAGAGGACAAACAAATTAATATGTGCCAAGGGAGAAAATGGTATATTCACAGTTAAGATCGAATTGCTATAAAACACTTATGAGAGAGTTACAACAATTTGAGATCACAAATTGAACACAATGTCTGTACCACAGTTTGTATTGACATTGGAAAAAAATCTATTTTTGGATGGATAAAATTAAATGTTGATGCAGTACTAAACCTGAAAACAAATACAGTGGGTTTCAGTTAGGGGTGTAAATGAGCCAAGCGGCTCGCGAGTCGCTCGTGAGCGGTTCGGTCAACGCTCGGCTCGAGCTCGAGTAGCTCGTGGATTAAACGAGCACGAGCCGAGCTTAGGTATTGTAGGCTCGCGGCTCGACGAGCCGCTCGCGAGCCTTATAATATATTATATAATATATAATATATAATATAATTATATTATATTTAGTAAATAAAAATAATAATTAGGGGAGGGAAATTAAAATACTTTAATAGTTATGTATGGATAAAAATCATAAAATAAAGTAGTTTAAATTTTAAATCAAACAGATCAAATTCGAGATCAAAATTGAGCTCAAATTCGAGCCTAAACTCGAGCTCGAATTCGAGTCTGAACTCGAGCTCGAGTTCAGGCTCGAATTCGAGCTCGAGCTCGAACAATCGAGCTGTTCGAGCTCGAGCATCAATTCACGAGCTCGAACGAGCTCGAGCAGTGCTATCATTAACGAGCACGAGCATGAACCTACCCAGGCTCGGGCTCGGCTCGGCTCATTTACACCCCTAGTTTCAGTTGGGTCCTTAGGAATATAATGAATACCGCTCTTTCATTGCGACAGTCAGCTCACCTAGCTGTGGTGAATACTCTCCAAAGGTAGCAGAGGCCTTGGCGATTCGTGAAACACTGAGTTAATTGGATAAAGCGACATGAGCTCTCCAAAGTTTTGGTCGAAACAAATGCATTACTAGTGGTGCAAACTGCAAAGCCTGAAAAATCATAATAATGTATCTTATTATTTTAGATATTAAAGATAAAGATATTCTTAGTCAGCTCTTGTTAGTAGATATCTCTTTTCTCAATAATCTGCAAATCGAATTGTTCATAGGTTTGTCCGAGAATCCCTTTTTATGATTTATCGTTCAGAATGGTTTAAAAATCCTCCTTTATTCTTTTGTAATGATCTTAATTAATTTATTCGTGTTTGGGAAATTTGACACTTTTTTTCCCTGAGTTATATACATATAACACTTTTTCCCCCCTGAATTATTCAGGTAAGCATATTAACCCCCCTCAATTATTTTAAAAGTGTCGATTTCCCCCCTGATATATTAAATTGACATTTCTACCCTTTAAAGTAAACATTTTATTTATTTTTCTTTTTCAACAAATTATTGCGCATACATAGGGATGACCACGGTTCGGTTCGAACTGAACTGGACACTATAGCAATCGAATTAAAAGTTTCCGGTTATGATTCAGATCCAGAACCCAATATTTGGATTAATTAAATTATGAATCACAAAAACTGGATCTTGAATCGGTGGTTCCGGATCCGGTTCGCGATTTTGAACCGTCTTTATTTTAAAAATTTATTTTTTATTTTAAAATAGTCTAAATTCAACAATAAATGTATTTTATTTATTTTTCCAGTTCGGAACATAGTCGGTTCGCGATTTTAATAAACTCTAAATATCGAGTTTTAATTATAAATTGTAATTGGAATATTTCCGTTTGGTTGCTATAGTGTCTGTTTGGTTTGAACCAAATTATGGTCATAATTTGTTGGAGAAGAAAAATAAATGAAATATTTATTTTAAAGGTAAATATGTCCATTTAACATTTGAGATGGAAAAATAACCATTTAAATAATTCAAGGGAAAAAAGTGATACAAGTATATAACTCAGGGGGGAAAATATTATTTTATCTTCGTGTTTTGGTTTTAAAAAAAAAAAAAAAAAAAAAAAAAAAAAAAAAAAAAAAAAAAAAAAAAACTCCAACTATTTTATTTACAGACACTTTGTTATCAACTCGTTGTATTTTAGTTAAAGCTCCATTTTACGAGTTTGGGTTCTTCCATAACACTTAGCAACAGGATGTGGGCGGAGCACAAGTTCTAATGGCTGCTGCTTTATAGAAAGCAGCACACCAAAGTCTTCTAAGTAAATCATCCATATTCACCTTTTGGATTCACCACCAATGTCAATTCTAAGTAATTTCTTCTCACTGCACAAGAATTTCAATATCACCCTAAAAGAAGTGAGACATAATTCTCGTATTAAAAAGTCCTTTGATCGAGTTCAAATCTTCTTAGTACAATTTACCTCTTATATGTTGTTTGTAAATTATTTGATGAACATATTAAGAATGGTCCTGATCAAAGAAAATCAATCCGAAAGAAGATGGAGAGCCGACATAAGCAAGGTTGGCCCAAAGTAGACAAAGCCGACCACGAGGTCGCCCATGGCTCGAGTTCAACCACTATGATCCGCTACGACATTAGAGACGGAGGCCACGAAGAGGCTCGACTGGCAAAGTCATCCTCCGTGGTCGGCCCCTGAGGTCAACCTCTGCGATTGGCCCTCGAGGTCAACCACAAGATCAACCTCCAAGGTCGGCTCCGAGGTGGCCTCCAAGGGCACCATCTTCATCCTTGTCTTATTATCATTCAATTCAATTATCTTGTAATAGCATTACACAACTTATTAATACATCATAACATTGTCCTAATTACTTACAATTTTGTCTTTCCATTACACTACATTACCCTTGTCTTTATCTTTCATTATTGACTATTATACTTTGGATTATTTGATTTTAGTCCCGGGTCAGTATAATCTATGACTATTATACATAGGTAAAATTTACCTCATACACACCCTCAAGTAACTGCTGCAATTTCCATCGCCACCCCAAAAAATAATAATAGATTATCTCAGTACAATGCTCCCATGGGAGCATGAGGCCATTCCTAAGTAGACAATTAAATTTGCAATGTGGAAGGATTGAAGGAACAAGAATTCTTACTTCTTGGGTTCAATCTCCTAAATTACAAATGCAATTAAAAAACAAAAGAAAAAGAAATTGCAATACTTGAAATCCATCAAATTCATGGCTAAAATAGTAAATACCATGTCAAAGAACTGTGTCGGAGTTAGGGATAGTTAAAGACATCACTTGTGAAAATGAAAGCAAGTTGGAAAACATATTTGATTACAAGCTAGACAGAGTCTAGAAGAAAATATGCTGCCAAAACAAAGTGCACAATAACAATCCAGTCTTCTCAATGCAAGCTGGAAGTAGAAAGCCAAACAAAAAAAGCCTCGTTTTAGCACCCGATGAGACCAATTTTATATTGGTTTGATTTTGAAGTGGAGGGAGATCAGCGAGAACACAAAACACTTCAGATCCTGCAACCACATAGCAAACAAGACGAGAACTCGTATAAGTATGACAAACGCAAATCCATCTTTCAGAAGAAATCATGATGTAACAGGAACACACAAAATTGAGAGGATAAGAGAGTTTATGCACTTAAAATGCTTCCAAAGAACAATCTCCGACCACTAGAGGAGACAAATTATCACCTCATCCAAACAAAACATAGTTACTACTGGAGTTTGTATTTCATGAACATCCTATTATGGACTGCTCAAAGTTGTCCTAGCATCCCTGCATTTGTCCAGGAAACGAAAGCTATATAACGTTTTAAGCCTATTATTTTATTAGGCAGCTAACTAATCTGCCACCTTAAGGTCCCATATGGGTGATAGCACATATGATGGAATTCTAGTTTAAAAGACCTCCCCTTGGGCACAAAAACCATACGGTTTAGGCATTTGAGTCTTCGATTAATGAGAACCGAGGAGTTCCAAAAGAGTTCTTTTGGTCTCCATCGAAAGGAGCCTACCCTTTAACCACTAATGTTTGGCTTACCATTGGAGCTTATTGAATTTCTACTTAAAACGCATTTGATGCAACATAAAAGTAAGTGAACCAGCAGTATGCAGGTAACTAAGGAGTTTAGGAGATCATAACAGTCAAATGCAGTAAATATATGATGAGAATATTGGTCCACAGTAACAGCATTTAGCAAGATTCATTGCTCTTAAGCACACGAAGTAGCACTAATTCTAAAAACAAAATAACAAGTCTTGATTGTTACCTGAACAAGATAATAAAAGATGCGAAGTCCTTCTGGATCTTTACTGGTCTGCACGTCCATCAGAGAACCAATCTTAGACGTAGTAAAAGATATGTGCTCATTCCCCATCACAATCTCAAGCTCTTGTCGCCCCACACGGTCTGGTTCTGGCCAATTGTTGTCATCTTCCTTCATGATCTACAATGCCCAAATACAGGAGTTCATCACCTTTGTAATAAATGAACATACAAAATTTAATGCACTCATAACATGTGTCAGCTCTACTCCACCAATCTACCATCCCAGACAGCCAAGAAGGCAACTCAAAAAACCCTCAACTTTCAAACCCCTATTTGAAACCTACCTTATTTTCACCATTTAAACTACTACTGAGTATATATTCACTTCCTGGATAAGGAATGTGCACGATTTCTAGCCACTTGGCATGTATTCAAGGGAAATAAAGATTTGAAATATGTCACTTTGACACTACAAAGCTAGCAAGTAGCAAATCAAACCTAGATCCTTCCTTGCATCCCCATTTAGACATTAAACAAGGATATCCTAGTTTTTTTTTTTGTAAGACCACGAGGTGTCTGGGCAGGTTATAACGGTAGGAGGCACCTTTAAGCGCATACCATACTCAACTAATCCCCCGTTTGCTCAGGGGCGGCCCAATTAAAGGGCAAAGTGCTGGCCAGTGGCGAACTCCCGACCTCTCCTAAGGGAGGAGGAGGAGAGTGCACGGCCACTCAGGCCAACCAAATTGGTTAAACAAGGATATCCTAATTCAGTTTCTTATAACTCAATGGTATTTTGTGACCAAAAAATATTTGTTTATAATAATCTCCTTCCAAAGGGGGTCAGCTTAAAAGGAGCATACCAACAACCAAAGGTGTCAACTTTCTCAAAATTTGACAGCATTCACGATAGATTATCGAACAAAAACCAAAGATGGGATTCAGACGCGAAACAGAAAATTATCTAAAAATATAGAAAGCATGGAAACCCTAAACGCAATAAATTGAATCTAAATGGAGTGAGAGAGAAAAGAGAAGCGAAATACCTCGCTATCGGCGACGATGCGGCGGCATTCTTTGAGAACGGCAGGGGTGAGGAAGACTTCCTTACGAATCATGGTGTCGTTCTTGTAGTTGGAGTTGTTGGCATAGCGGAGCTTGCCGTCGGGTCGGAATTCAAACTCCAGAAACTCGTGCCCGAATTTTCCCTTGTGACCCACGTAGTACCTCAGGTAAAACTCATCGCTCTCTTCCATTCTTGTCACCTCTTCGCACCTCTTTCTCACTCTTATCGCCGCCGGAGATTTTGTGAGGACTATTCCTAGCAGAGACAATGAGCAGAAAATAGACTGACCTTATATATAAAAGGCTTCGGAGCTTCGACCCGACTTTATTTTGGTCAAAAAAAGAACTAAAAACTCTAATTAGATTCAGATTGAGAGAAATTATTTTAGAGTTTATAATTTATTTTAAACTATTAATAAGTTATAAGTTTTGTTTGATAATGTTTAATTTTTATTTTTATTATTTTAAATAAATGACATATCTCTTCAAATTAAAATACTTTTGGCATTTTTTTTTCTTTTATTTAATTTTGAAAAAAATATATTTTATTTTTCAATTATAAACTCTATTGTGATTGTTATTTATACTTATTTCACCTCACCAACCGACGGTAGAGGTCTACTCGTATAATTATGATTATATTTCAAAAATCCACCTTAAAATTTTATACAATTATATGAGTTCTATAATATTTTATAAGATTCTATAAATCTTTACATTTCAAAATGTTAAATTTTAATAGATAAATAATCATATTTAAACAAATTAAAAGCTTCAATTAAAGAAAAAGAAAAAAGAAACATACGCCTATTGGGTGTTGTTAGTGCGCTTCACGCTAACCAATGGCAATTTTATTTTGTCAAAGTAAGGTTTTTGTATTGTAGTGTTTTGTTCAATTTAGTTCTTTGTATCTTAATTTTATTAAATTTAATCATGGTACTTTAAAATTTAAAACAATTAGGCGTAATACTTAATATTGTTTATTTTTTTTTTGTTAAGTCTGTCAATGTAGTATTAAAATTGTCATGTCAAATTTTGTGACGTGACATAAAACAATATGATTTTGAACCAAAAAAGTAGTAAGAGCTTGAACCCACAATCTCTTGAATCAAAAAACTTTCCACCATCAAACTACACATTAAACTTGTTACATGTTAATTAAAAATATGTATTAATAGCAAATTTGCCATCTTTTCATTACAAGCATAAATTGTTACGAGCATAAAAATAAGATGCACTTTTTAAAACACACTCCTAATTTTTAAAATGTGCCATCTTATTTTTAAAAATAACAAAAATCAAATGATGATTTACCTGTCGAGGACCTTGTACTCCAATGACACCAAATTACTCCAAAAGTAGTTATGAACATATATTACTTTATTAAGTTACCACCTTCCTTAAAATAAGGAATAATGGTCAAATTTAGAATTCAAAAAATATGCAATTAGGTCTTTAAACTATCCAATTTCATGCAATTAGTCCAATCAGATTATCTTAAATTTAAAATATTTTTTAAAAAATAATTATTTAAAATTAAATTTAGAAAAAAAAAATATGGTGAGTTGTTAGAAACTTGAAAACCTTCAAATTAGACTAATTGCATAAAATTGGTTAATTTAAAGACCCAATTGCATGTTATTTTTAGTTCAATAGCCTAATTGTATTTTAGTGTGTAATTCAATGACGTATTTGACTCTTATCTCTTAAAATAATAATTTGGATTAATTTGAGTAATTACGCATTGCTCAACAATTTGGTGCAATTAAGCAAGTGGAATAAGATTATTATCGACCATCCACAAATATGGCAATTTAGATTTATTTTTTTTTAATATGGCAATTTAGTTTTTAAAAACACACTCCTTTTTTGAAGCAAAACACACTCCTTATTCTTATGCTTGTAACAGTTTATGCTTCTAATTAAAAGATGGCAGATACACCACCCCAAAAAAAGATGGCAGATTTGCAGAAGAATAAGTATTATTACATATTTTATAGAGTTAATTATCGAAATAGTTCATTGACTATTGCGAAATTACTAATTTAGTCCTTGATTATTTTTTTGACCAATTAAGTCTCTTAATTTTAAAAATCTTAACCAATTTGGTCCTCAGTTTGTTTGATCGTTAGTCAACCGTTAACTTGGAACCAAATTGGTAATTTCGCTATAGTCAAAGGACCATTTCAGCAGTTAACTTTAGGGGTGGCAATTCGGTTCAGTTTTTTTCAAACGAACCGTTGGTTCGGTAATATACCGAACAACCGAACAGTTTTGGATTTTGTATACTGAATGATATTCGGTTCGGTTTGATTTACTTTTTTTATTATTATTATTATTATTATTATTATTATTATTATTATTAGATTTTTTTAAAAAAATCAAACAGTGTTCGGTTCGGTTTGATTTTTTACCGAACAATTCGGTTCGTTTTTTTATCGAATTGTTTAAAAGTGTTAATTTTTTTTTGAATGATCTATACTCGTAAAAAAAAAAACAAAATATTCGCCTGATATATATTACATTCATATACACATCTTGAGATTCCATTTCTAATACCCCTATATCTGCTTCTTGAGTCATATTTAACTTACTCTATTCTCATAACAACAGAGCGATGAAGGACACAGAGGACCAGGAGCTACCAGAGAATCAGGATAAAGTGTTTGATTATACAACTTTTAATAATTTTGGTCACCCGACTAAATTTCACCAGAAAATTTAATTCATCAATTAGTGTTTAATCTGAGGGGCAAAATCTTCATTTGAACTGTGGAGTCGGAAAATCAAGATTCTCCCGAAAAGGAAAGGATAGGGATGTAGTGAGAAATTTCCGGGTTTTTTTTCGTGGGTTATTTTTATATATGCACGGATCTTTAGGACCCAAATTTCTCCTTGCCCTAACGGCCTCTACTATATTCACAAGTCTTCTTTTTGTTTTTTAGAAATCAGCTCATCGAATCTCCACCGCCGCTCGCTTGATACGTTCCCAAAGTTCTAAATAAGGACACAAACAACCCAATCTCTGAATTTTATTTTATATATACTTATTGGTGTTGGATTGGTAAAATTTTATATATACTTATTGGTGTTGGATTGGTGCAGGAAAAGAGTGTTTCTTGGCGGAAGCTCAATGGGAGAGGAAGTGGTTGACATTCCGTCGCCGGTTAATCGGATTTCACTTGGGAGAACTCGTTAAACCGGGTCAAATGAAATTTGCTTAATTCGGATCACAGTTCAAAAGATGGTTTTGCCCATAAGGTTAAACACTATTTGTAAGATTAAGAAGAAAAAATTTGGCCGGAGCGATCAAAATTGATAAAAATTACATAGTCAAGTACTAAATTAGCACTTTTGAAAGCCGTGAACTGCAATTAATAGGACCTCTATAGTCACCAGACCAAAATTGAAATTTATAAATGTCATGTTTTACCCCATCTCAATTAAAACCATTTTGTTGTAAATAAGATTTATGGTGGACATTAATAATAACTTTGTAACGTCTGTAACGGATGTAATTATTCTCTATTATTATATCTCTTCATCGTATCTTGTATATATAGATCATTGTACTATAACAAAGAAGAAGGAATAAGATGATCCTACCTTTCCCTCTCTCCTCTCTGTCTTTTTCTGTTTAACACGTTATCAGCACGAGTGTTCTACCAAGAGTGGTTTGCGTGAATTAGGATTTTTCTTCACTTCGCTCTACATTCCCGGTGAACAGCCTATACTGAATCCGGCAACTGCTGCGTTAAAAAAAAAAACACCGTCGGAAGAGAAAAAACAAACGTAAGCAAACCCATAAGATAAGCACAAAAATAGGAATTGGAGCGAATTGTGTGCTTCTTTGTCCGCTTCCGATCCAGTCGCCTCAGCCGTCGCGCCAATCGATCTTCGCGGCCATCACCGATCGGAAATCCTGAGGCCTGCCGTGGTGGAGACTTCTCGCAATCCAGCCGGTTGATCAACGATCAGACAAGCGGAAGGTGATCGCGACGATGAGGCGAGCCCAGGGCCATCACCCACTCCCTGATCCGACGGTCGGATCACCGGCGATGGCGCCATTGACGAAGGAATCGCCAGAACATTTGCGGCTCCCATGGAAGAGCTGCGAACTATCATCCCTGCGGCAGAGAATAGGGAATCGAATGATCAGAAAATGAGTAAAACAACTCCATCAACAGCTAAGTATTTATTAAGTGCCTTAACTTTCTTAATAACTTTTTTGGGTTGAATCTCCATTAACTCTTTGACAGGAAAGTTAAAGCTATCATATATACATGTTCTGTTAGGTTGTGGTTTAATGTTTAATGCGTTATCTGTCATTATAAATCATAATCTTTGCAAAATGAAAATCTATCACATATACATGCAAGTCTAAAGGCAATCACATATGATTATTTTTAACTGGATTGCAATATCTGTTTATAGACTAAAATTGTCATGTTCGAGTCACTTGTGTAAAAACGAGTCTAATTTGGTATATATGGACTTTATGGTGTTTAAAGTTTTTTTATTGCTCTAATTGTATATACAAACACCAGCTTGATGCCTAGCTTTTCTGCATTACATAAAAATTACAGTGAAGAACTTTTTGGAGGCAAAGCAGTCTAAAAGAAGCCTGTTGAGGAGAGTAATTAGTGATATGCTTCAGATGAATGAATTAATCATCTTGAAATGTAGCCATTAGTAGACAAATTAGACATGTAATTTAGGTGTGGAATAGGGGAGACTTTTGTTATGAAATGCTGAATGTTGCCAAGGTTATATGTACTGAGTACTAAGGATCAACATGCTGGTCAAGTGCTATCTGGTCTAATTTGATGCTAAATGTTCAAAATTTCAAATGTCCCATTTGATGACATTGATAGTGAAACTGACAATTTTGTGGATGCCCTTAACACCATTGAGTCTGAATTTGAAAGTGATTTAGATTGTCAAACAAGAAAACAGTTGGATCTAGTCTCTTATTTGGAGACCAAGGTAATAGAGGATGCTATGTCTGAAGTCATAGCTAAGTATGCTGATAGCCTCTCGCCTAATTTGACATCTAAAGCTGGTAAAATTCCTGCTGGAAAGGATATTTTTGGGGATTACTCTAGTGCAATGCCCTGCAATCATGATTCTGCAGCTTGCGTTTCCTTGGATAAGGTAACATGTGAAGATGCTTTCCAATTGAATACATCATAATGTAATTCCCACTTAGAGTCCCCACAGATGGACAAATGGTGGTGTTCTTTTTTTATGCTTGTGAGAGTATGATACTACTCTTCTACGCCATCTTTACCAGTTATTGAAGCTGATGCTCCTGGTTTTGATTGTAATTTTGTCTGGAAATGAAAATTGATGTTTATTCAATATTTGATAGTTACATCTGAGCCATGCAAAACTGAAATCACCATTTAGTTATATATGAGCATGAAAATTTTGATCACTGCATGCCTGAAATTTCAGATCGGTGCAGTTTGAAAACTAAATTCATGAAAAATACTTGTTGAACTCCTTTTGGCATGAAATTTTTTTTTGGAGAACCTAGACTTGTGGTATTTGATGTCTGTGAAAATATTTTCTTAAAAATATGTTTTGGTTATTCCAGAAAAATTTGTAAAGTTTTGACAATGTGCTGCTAATTATTTTTCTGCCTGGAGCAATGTTGGAAAAAATACTTCCACGTCTTGGATTGAAATGAAAATTTTTTATGTACTTTCAAGACTTGCTGAATTTCATATCTGCAAAATTTGGTGTAAAAATGTGTTAAGGTTTTTTTTCATACAAATTTTGCAATCTGAATGCATGTGTAAAATTTAACTGTGAAGTATGCATTTTGTGGATTCACAATTGCAATCTGAATGCATGCGTATAATTTATCTGTGAAGTATGCATATTGTTAATTCACAAGAAAACATGTTTAGTATCACCCATGCCATGCATCCAAATTGATGCTTAATTGTTTTTTAGAAAGCATGATAAAATAGACGAAAATTATGATATGTTATCTTGATGAGTTCACTCCATTGTATGTTGAGTACTCTACTTGTTTCTCTAATTGTCATGAAACACTTATTTAAGATACACAATATCATATTTTTTTAAACTAAAGCTCTAAATCTTAATAGAGCTTTGTTTGGAAAGCAAATTATGCAATTTTGGAGGAAATATGTTTTTTGGGGACCTTCAAAAATTGAATAACCAATATCCTGATCCACTACATATCACATACGCTAGTACATGATGCATTTCCCAATCTGCGTTCAATTTTTTTTTTAGTATGCAACCCTTCTAGCTATATCCTATTATGAGAAATCAACCGTGATGTTGGTTGCATTATAAGATATTTTCTCGGCATTAGGGGGAGATTTGAAATTTCTAATTAATTAAATGCCGAGAAATTGATAAAAATATTCAAACCCATGTACTAGCCTTATAGAACCAGAAGTTCGGACATTAAACAAATTATCTGCTAGAAATCCCAATGAGTGACTAAGTCCATAAAAAATATTTTTAGAGTTGAAATCCCCAACTAGGACTAAACATCTCTACCATTATGCCAGAAGCATATATTGGTTTAAGAATTTGCAAATCTAGATCTAGTGAAGAAATTTCGTCACTTCAGAAATATAGAAATTTTAACCCCCAGTAAAACTGTAGGTGCACCAAACAACTAAAATACTGGGGAAGCGGAACAACCAAATTCAAATAATCTTGGGAAATGCCATATATTTGGTTGATACAAAATTGCCATGTGTATAAAAGATATTTACAAAGCTGTTATAGTTGTCGACAACATTTTTTTGCCTCTATTGCTCATAAATGCTTAAATCTGGATCCAGAAATGAAAACAGTAGCATAACGTCTGCAGCGTGCTAACTGTTTTGATAGAAAAGAGCAATTTAGGCATACAAATCAAAACTCGTTAATAAAATGCGAGTTGAGGGTTTTCGAAGAGACCCAATATTAGTCATGGCTTTATATTCCGCTATTCAATAAATTAAAACTAGCAGTAAATAAATTAGATATGTAGCTAATAGTTATAGTTATCACATATTTATATGGGTAACTTGTTACTTATATTTAAAATCCTTGATGAATTTTCTCAAAATGTGATGAATGAAAATCACAAAATAAGAAGTATAAAAGTTAGTAAGTTACTAACTATGATCTTTCTTATAGTCAATAAATTGACTAAAGGTATTTTCTCTCCCATAACAAAGTATGAAAATATATTATCATAAACATGCCTAGTAATGTTATATGTGATTGGGAAACTCAAATATCGTTTCCTCTTGAAAATATCCTAAATATATCCTCTAATTTATCTTAAAAAATCCCTAATGGATTTATAATTTCCGAAATGAGGATTTACTTAAATATCATTATGTGCCATTATTTACTTTTTAAAGAGTTGCGAATGGGGCTATTATCCTCACATAGAAGGAATAATATGTATCATTATGTGCTCAATAAAGAGTTGATAATGGACATACTTATTATCTCAGTCAATTTTTATGATGTAAACATCAATGAAATATGTGTAGAACTTGAAGATCGTTATCTTCAGGGGGAGACGGGAAGTAGATTTACTCGAATCAATCCGGAAGATTGGACGTAAAATTCTAAAGATTAAGTCATAAAAGACTAACAGTTGCGCACTATTTGCAACACATCATGTACTATTTTCCTCACTAGTTTTCTCCCATTGGGTTTTTCTAGTGTGATTTTTAATGAGGCATGAGTATGATATAATGATGTAAATGGGAAAATATTGCAAAATAAGTGCTTAAATGGACAAACCCCAAAATCCTGAAGATTATGCAGTTTGCGCCCTGAAAGGCTTATGGTTGTACTCTTTTTCCCTTAACTAAGTTTTTCCCACAGGATTTTCTTAAGTTAAGGTTTTTAATGAGGCGACTAATACAATATATGTTTTTACATATATCACGTACTCTTTTCTTCAACTAGGTTTTTCCCACGTGGTTTTCCTAGTGAAGTTTTTAATGAGGCATGAATATTTTCTATTGTACTCTTTTCTTGTCTAGGTTTTTCCCACAGGGTTTTCCTAGCAAGTTTTTAATGAGGCAAGATCATTGTCAAATAATGTCCAAGGGGAGTGTTGTAAATAAGATTTATGGTGGACATTAATAATAACTTTGTAACGTCAGTAACGGATGTAATTATTCTCTATTATTATATCTCTTCATCATATCTTGTATATATAGATCATTGTACTATAATAAAGAAGAAGGAATAAGATGATCCTACCTTTCCCTCTCTCCTCTCTGTCTTTTTCTGTTTAACACATTTGGCCTTTTCTCTTCTTCTATTTAATTTTGAAAAAAAAAATACATTTATTTTTCAATTATAAATTTTACTGAACCACTTGGATTGTTAGAAAATGAGTCTAATGAGGTTATTTATACTTATTTCACCCTCAACAGACGGTGTAGATCTACTTAATCGTATGACTATGATTATCTCTCTAAAATTACTCTAAAATTATATAAAATCATATGAGTTATATAATGTTTTATAAGATTCTATAAATCTTTACACATGTTAAATTTTAATAGCTAAATATTTTATAAAGATGTAATTTTTAGTCTTTTTACATTTATCAGCTTATCAAAAAGCTAATTTTATCAAGCACTTTTAAGCATAATCAGCTAGTTTAACAGCTCTTCATTTTTTCAGCTTATAGCTTATAGCTTATAGCTTTTTAGCTTTCAGCTAGGTTTGCCAAACATAGCAAATTAGAAGCTTCAATTAATTGAGGGTGGTCACCAATTATAGTACATACACCTATTGGGTTGCTGCTAGTGCGATTAACGTTTACATACGCCTATAGAATGATCTCATGCCGTACGCCTATAGAATGATCTCATGCATAACATAGTAGTGCCGAGAATCTGGAGGGTGTGGTTGAGTGAAAATGACTCATTCACGCTTTACCAAAAGTTAAGGGTTCGATCCTTAGCTTTGGGAATGGAGCACACGCTTATCCTTAACTTTGGGAATGGAGCAGTCTTAAATCTCCCCGGCCAGCTATCTCACCCAAAAAAGGTACCTACAATCCGACGGGTAAAAACTCTGAGTAATGCCCGATCACAAGATGTGGGTACGTGATGAGACATGGTTGGATGCTCTAGTGTGCGGGATTGAGTCAAAAATTAAACCAATCAATACTTGAGTAAAAAAGTTAAACCAATCATCTATATAAATCACGTTTGTAAGGTATTACAGAGCTTTTCTAGGAGTTAACACATAAACTTTTGTATGTTGTAACCTTTATTTCTATCTTTCTTATATATTTCTCTCGCATTATTCACTCAAATTTGTGGCGAGTTTGGAGCACAAAACCATCAACTATTATTTAGTATCAATTTATTTATTTCTACATATGAAAAATTCAAATTTTAACTTAAGAGCTTAACACTATACTCAATGATTAATATATATTTCTTCTGAACTAAATAAAGACCAATCTGGGAAATGAAGTTACAAAGGCAGCTCTAAGATCACTGAACTCTACCCAAGTTTTCAGTACACAATATCTGCAAGTCTGTAATGCAAAGCAGTATACAGAGAAATGCTACTTTAAGCGACTAAAAATGAAATGGCCACAACCCGGCAGATATGGGAAGGAATAGGAAAGAAAATCTTAGTCGAAAGGTTTCTTTCCACGGGAGGGGCCGCAAACTCTAGACACGATAACGAGATTCCTTGGAAGTGACTAATGGGATTGCTTCTGATCGTCGTCATCTTCTTCATCGGAGTCACCACTTTCACGGAAACGTGGATTCTTCTCCTGCAAAGACATGTGGATTATGCACTAATAAGAACTAACATAATCCTAGGGATTCTTGGGACATTGTTTCCAGCTCCCAAGTAGTAGCAGATGATTCTAGTCTAAAAAAGTATGTGCATTTTTACTATCGAGGAGAAAAGAAGTTCCGGTAAACAGATTTTTCAAATTCAGAATCACCAAAGTTTCAAAATATATTTACTTTTCTGTACTCAATATATATTAGGTGGACAAAATGTCAATTTGGAAAGAGATGGGAAAAAAAATAGAGACACAGGACATGCGAATACATAGGGCGATGGGGAAACAAAAGGATTATTATCATCGAAGGAATTTACCGGTCGAGCTTCATGGTCGGAGTCTCTCACAGGTTCACGGCGGTAAACTCTCTTTGAGTAATCAAGTCTGTGGCGATCATCTTCACGATGCCTCTTGCGATAGTAATCTGTTACGTCAAATATGCATATGCGCATAAAAATTAACTTAACAAAAGGAACAAGAGAATTGAAGGAATGCAAATCTAACTAGTTAGCAGTTCTGGGATCACCTCTGCCATGTCGATAAGAACCCCCATGTCCACCTTGCCGACCATCTGTTACACATCAGATGTCAGGAAGTAGTATATGTATCATCAATTAATAGAACATAATTGAGAAAAAATATCCATGTAGACTTATCCCAAATGGATTGAGAGTAAGGCTTAGTTTATAGTTTACTATATATTTTGGATTTTAATACTTTACTATTCTTTAAAGCATGTAAGTGGGTCACTATGATAATCTAAATGTAAAAGATCCCTATAGCATAAAAGCTCAGAGCTCTTGCCCATTTGCAGTGCCTTATAATTCCAAGCATAAATTAGAAGTACCTGAATTTAACTCTCTTATGTCAAATATTCACTATAGAAAGGAATGAGTTCATTAACGAAAAGATGTAGAAGAATATTAAGCATCATACTTAGAACAATGAGCTAATTAGGCTAATAGCCAGAAAAGCAAAAGTGCATGATTGTGAAAATTATGCATTTCTATTATTCTTTGTTCTTTTCTTTGTGCTTTCTGGCTATGCACAAAAGTGAATAACACAAGGGTAGAAAAGCATAATTTTCACAACTAAGTGAGGTGGCACATAGAAATAAAGTAACAAACAATGAACACAATTAGCCAACAAATTCTAGTAATTGATAAGTAATCTCATGACTCGGAAGTGGCACATAGAAATAAAGTAACAATCAGAGCACCAACATAAATCAGCAAAACAAATTCAAGTAAGAGTTCATATTATTGACTAGGTTTGGAAAAACAAACAAAAGAACATACATACTAAAAGTGGAATTGAACTTACATTGAGGTGCCATAACAGGTGGGAAGTTGCCCAATGATCCAGTACCATAATCCACAAGTTGTCTCTGTGCTTCCAACTCCTTTTGCACCAACTTTCCATAACCACCCCTACGTGTTGCTAATTAAGGAAATCAAACATGCCCCTCAAGTCCCTTAAGTATTGATGGGTAAGAAAAACATCAAATAATTAAGGCCTAAGGGCATCCTTTTATTAAGCCTCATGCAATTTGCCTTAAGAAGAAAATAAACTCCACCACAAAATCATACTTAGATGAGGAATTGAAGAAAGATATATTTAAGCTGAATTCAAGAATTCTTATTCATTGAAAGAAATAGAAGATGAAAGCAAAAAAAGGCTCATCCAATCTCCACTTGTTCCATGTCCGTTGCTCACCAATATGTAAATTCTAATAAAGTATCACACAATTCTCACCTTGAAAGTCTGAACTTTACAAAATGCATGGCCTTGCAAGATAAAGGTTGAGTAAAATAATATGTTTGTTGCTATAATGAACAAAGAGGGATATGGAGTCAGTTCATTGCACTCTACCAAGCATTGGTAGTGGTCTTGGGAAGATCATAGGCCAATAAGAATTACTCTTGGGAAGGCATAAGTCATGTTTGCAGTAAATAAATGAAAGCATCAAGAAAAACCGAGGTTCTTTGAAGGAAATGTTGAAAGCAACATGTGTACCTCATATTCTTTTCTTTCATTTATTGTTTGTTTGATCCTTGAAATGAAACTAGAATCTGAGAAATGGTTGATTTTATCATGCAATGCGAATACAGACTTTAAACATAAAGATGAAATTAAGGTAAGAGCACAGCACAGAATGAAACCTCAAGCATTAAGGTAGATACACATTAAACCATGACAAAGAAAATCATAGATGCACAAAGTTTAAAGACAAAACTTTGAAACTTTCAGAAGGATATCTGGATCATAATCAGTGCGATATTCATCGCGTACCTGAATTAATAATTTAAAAAATAAAACAAAAACAAAAAGAATATGGATCAGAGAAAATGAACAATTTATATTGATATAAGATCATGAAAAAAGTAAGGAGAAATTACTTGTCCTCCACTTTTACCGCGACCCCACTGTCTGCCTTCCATGAAACCCCAATCAAAATCTACACGAATAGGACGATCATCAAGGATTGTCCCACTTATATATTTAACTGAATCTTCAGTATCTTCTCTAGAGTAGTACCTGGTATGAAAATTATTTAAAATTAGTGATTACTTGCTCATCTTTCAGCACTTCCCTAGTTCCCTTTCCTCTTCATGAAAGAGCACAAAATTTAGATTGATGACAAACAATTTCTAGCTAACAACTAATCAATACATAAGCACAGAAGCAACATATAAAAGTTCATTAGTTTAACAAGGCCAAAAAACAGGATGCCAGCAAACTACTAAACTTTACGGATTAGATTTAATAATGGTGACAAACTGACAAATAATTTCTGGCTAACAAGTATGGAGTACATGATACCCAAAGACAAAAACTAAATGCAAAATTTCATTAGTTCAGAACAAGGAAACAAATTTCAGGAACCACTAGTTGAATGCCGGAAAACTTTATAAGGTAAAGTTCTACATGCAATATATAGTAAATCTATCCAGATAGCAAAAGTTAGGCAACAGTAAAATGTACATGATAGCATATGGCAATAAATAAGGTCCTTCCTGTGTTTTGTCAGAGAACCATCCTGCTTCTAATGTACACAGAATGCCTCACGAAGATATGATCAATTAGATTGAGCATCCGTTTTTTAGGCAATTATAAATAAAAAGTAAGGAAAACGAAGGGATCAAGGTTAAAGCTGTACATCACAAAACAGAAACCACATGGAGTTCTGCTGTTCTTGTCAAGACCCATGACAATCTTTTTTATCTCTCCAGCACGAGAGAACAGCTCGTAAACTTGCTCCTCAGTCGTATAGAAGGACATGTTCCCCACATAAACAGTAGTAGATTTAAGCAGAGCTTCCTCAAATTCTTCCTGTGTCCCCTGGAACCTTCTATCTCTGTAGGCTGAAATCTTGCTGAGATCCTAACCATCACATACAAACAATAAAAATAAGAAATAAACGAACAAAAATCCCAGAAAATATGAGAATAGAGAACATAACATAATCCCAAAAATTCTAAGAATCAAAATTTCAAAAGTTCATATAGTACATTCCAATTTGCTTCAAATTAATGCGTTTGTAGTGAGCTACTGTTATCCTCCCTCCAATTAGAGATAAGCAAAGTTTACACGATTTGTGCAGTATATTCAGCTCAGAAGTTGTGCTTTCGCCGAAGAAGAAAATCTCAAAAATCAATGGCAATGAAAAATTTGCTTCACAAATTCGAATCGGTAAACACAAGTCCACGCATATATACATACAAAGATATATAATTAAAGGGGGCGTTTGGTAGATCACCTTGAAGAGAGATGCCATTGTTCTTTCTCCTCAGAGAAATCCTTCCCAGGTTAGCCCTAGCAAGAACTGAATGCTCTCTGTGCCCTACTTCCCTAAACCGGTCTGACAGAAAGCCGGTCGAACGTAACCTCGTGAATTTACACCTACACCCCTCGTTAATTCAATCCTTAATTGCGGATCCTGACCGTTTGATTGTTTAATTCACGTTATAATTTTGTTTATGTTTTTTTACTATTTCTTTTATTCATTACTCAAATTAACTCTTTCTTCTTTTGTTTATTTTCGTTATTATTTTTTATTTATTTTTAAATTTAATTTTTTGTGTTTTTCTTATGAGATCTCAAATTGAAATTGAGGTGAACTCATTTATTTTGACTGACTTTAATTGATCCGTGGGAGCCACGTGTCATCTTATGACTATGTGTTTGCCATGACTGATTGTATCTGTTGGCTGTTGATCACCAATTAATAATATTTGATTTTTATGAAAGTGTTTAATTAAGGGTCCGTTTATAAACTCAGAAAATGACTTTCGGAACACATTTTTCAGATTTTCCCGTATTTTGTTACTCAAGGAAAATGGAATCGAAAAAAATATTTATTCTGATCAACGAAAAAAAAAAAGTCTAATTTGACAAAAAATGTCTTCTTAATTTTTTAGTTAGAAGACATTTTCTAGATTCTTTGTTTTCCATCTATCTTCCCTTTCTTTCTTTTTTAAAGTTAGTTTCTGTATTATTATTATTACCATCACCACACCACATCACAACTACACCACCACCACCACCACCACTGACACTAACACCATTACCACACCACCACCACCACCAGCCAAACAGAAAAAGATTATTTTCTAACATTCAACCAAACACTAGAAATTAGATTATTTTCTAAAAAACAATCATTTTCTGAAAAATATTTTCTAAGTTTTCAAACGGACGCTAAATTAGTATACAACACATTATTAAGAAAATGTTCAACTATTGGCTAACAGTTAATTGGTTATGAATTGCAATAAATATATTTCATTCGTTCACTCTTTTGGAATCTACTTTTGCAAGAAATATATTTATCGATTCTCTTCCTCTCGAAATCTAGACTCAATAAAGACGAAAGATCTCAGGCTACAAACTTAATTACAGAATCTACTTAAACTTTCAGAATCTATATCACACTATTTGATGGACTGGATGAAGGATCTCAACCTCCAAACTTTCAACCAATGATTAATCAATAGCTATGTATATTAATTATTATGTAATTTCTTGACAAAAAAAACAATTCTTATTTTTTTTATTTATTTATTTATAGGGTCATTGATGTCTCCAAATCAAATACAATATTCAATAGGTATGAAATCATATTTTAAAATTACCCGCAAATCTTACACTTGATGATCTCAACTTAACCTACAAAGATTTGGATGGTTCAATTCTAAGATCAGCCTAGTATGTGCCGAAGATGTTGAGTATTGTTTTAAATTTATTAAGTTGTGCGGAGTTTCCAAAATTAAGTTGACACTAGCTTAGATAGTCTATTTTTTTTTTTAAAAGTATGACCGTTGATCATGCCACATGCATAGTTGGCAAGAGTACACAAGTGTACATGATAAGAGAAGTTCACATCTGAACACTTATATATATATATATATATATATATATATATATATATATATATATATATATATATATATATAAAAGAAAACTATCTTTAATAAAAAGTGTGGACAAATATAAGAAGGATTTAGTGATTGGATGGCTGAGATTGTATGTGGTTTCATTAAGTCAAGCCGTATTTTAGGTAGTAAATATGCTATTTTGCCATTGTTTTTTCACAGTTTATTTTTGGTAGTTCTGAACTTCTGATTTCCCCTCCAAATACAGTCAACAATTCTTAGTTTTTGTTTTTTGTTTAAAAAATTCTATTTACACCACATATTTTACTATTTGCACCACCTATTTAGTAGGTCAAATAACTTTATAGATGGTGTAAATATAAATTTACTATTTACACCACCGCCATTAAATATGGTCAAAGATTATTATTTGTTGTTCATTTTTTTTAAATTAAAAATATTAAAATTAAAATTAAAAAAAAAAACAAAAACAAAAATAAACCTCCCGTCACCTTCTCCGGTTAGAAAGCATGGCCGGAGAAGGCAACTGGGTTGCCTTCTCCGGTGAGAAGGCAGTGGGTCTCCTTCTCACCGGAGAAGGCGACCCATGTAGATTTCTACCTGGGTTGCCTTCTCCGGTGAGAAGGAGACCCACAGTGGGTTGCCTTCTCACCCGAGAAGGCAAGCCAGCCAGGTAGAAATCTACATGGGTCGAAGAGAAGGCAACCCAGGTAGAAATCTACATGGGTCGCCTTCTCCGGTGAGAAGGAGACCCACTGGGCTGCCTTCTCACCGGAGAAGGCAGTCCCGGCCTTCTCATCGGAGAAGGTGAGGGTTTTTTTTTTTTTTTTTTTTTTTAAATGTCTAATTATTCTATTTTATAAGTTTTTATTTTCAACAAAAAAAATGTTGTTTCTATTTTCAAAATATCTTTTTTTTTTCAATACATTTTTTTAATTTTCTATTTTCAATACTTGTTTTTGTTTATGGTTTAATTTTTAAATAAAAAAATTAATTTTGTTATTTTAATATTCTTTACAACTAAAATTTGTTGTATATATATATTTTTTATCTTTTTTATAAACATATAATAATATTAAATTTGAATCGCTAAAAATATAAAAATACATTAACATCACAATAAAAAAATAAAAAAAAAATTCATTCAATTTCAATCTAATATAACATTTTCCCGAGTACAATTAGAGCGTACATGCTCATTGTAACTTTAAATCCGATTCATATATGGAGTAATCCATGCATTTGCACAATCATGTCTAAAATAAGCCCATTGTGGAGCAATAGTAGGCATTGGGTACTCTCCTGTCAATGTTACCTTAACATAATGGTTATTATTAACATAACCAAGGGCTATTGCTACATGCTCGTACCAAGGTGGTGGGCTAGATCGGAGTGGTAAATATGTTGTATTGTCGGCCATACTCAAAACATGCCGTATCACATTGTATCGGGAAGCAATTAGTACACCCATCTCCGGCATAGTCATCCAGTGCTCAACTGGTGTACACCGATCTTGTGCAAAAAAATTCAACATGTTATAGACATTATACAATCCTTGAGTTCCAAACATATTGGTATATTCCATCTTGTGAGACTCTAGTTCTTCGATTAAATTGGATCGAATTTTGAACCATTCGTCCTCCTTAAAACCAAGACATAGAGCTACTGCTCGAAATCCACAGTTTCCGTCAGATCTCACATCTTGCACTTGCATGATGAAAGGATGGAATATAACCGGGAGTTGAAGAATATATGGATGGTAAAAATGTCTATTACCTGAAATAAGCCCATTGTGGAGCAATAGTAGCCAAATATAGAGATAAGTTGCCGCATTCAGTTACCTTCAATATAATTATTAAATTTCATAGATTTAATAAGATTTAGGGTTGTAGAAGATAGTTGGTACTTAGATTCTAGATATAGGGGTCGCCGAACTGATCTTCCACTGTCAAGTCAGCTTCAAGATCCATGCCCAAATATAGAGATAAGTTGCCGCCTTCAGTTACCTTCAAGATAATTATTAAATTTCATAGATTTAATAAGATTTAGGGTTGTAGAAGATAGTTGGTACTTAGATTCTAGATATAGGGTCTTTAAAATTGTTTTATAACTTGATACTACTGTTATAGACTTATTGTATTGCATGCTGATTTGTAGCTCAAAAGAATCCTAATTCAGTTTGAATAATTTTTTCGCACATGCAAATGGCTACTTTAATTTCTATCACATAAAATCAACCGATATATTCTTGTAGTTACGTAATAGAGTTTCTGATGCAGTCTTGGATGTCCGAGGTATCCATCCCCAGCAAGCTTGGATATGCCTTCTATTTCACCGTACAAACTGATTTTCTAAAAAATGGCTTCTCACGAAGGAGCCCAACGATATCAGTTAGGTACACAGAAGGTGATAGCGTTGCGACAAAATTGAAAGGAAGAAAACAGGAGATGTGGTCTGGGATGTCTGAATTTAGTGTTGGGTGTGCGACTTGAATTTCTAAAACCTGAAGAAGAGGAAAGTGGGAAATGAGAAAAGGGAACATGTTGGCAAATTAGTCCTTGAAAAAAAAAACAGCTTACTTTGACAAAATTAGGAATACTAATCAATAAAAATTACTACTCCAAAAAATATTAATCATAATAAATTTATTCAAATATTATCACATGTGGGGTTGTTATTAATGAAACCAATGTTTGTGCACGGTCAATTACATGTTACTACTTCAAGAGTAAGCAATCCAAATGATTTAAAATTTGTAATCTGTAGTAGGAAAATGTTGTAAGTCACCCACTAATATGGTTTACAAAGAAGTTTTTAATAATTTGGATTTTTGATTTGTTTTTTTATTATTATTACCAAAAAAATAAAATAAAAAATTGCCTAACTAATAGACCATAGTTTACAAAAAGAGTAAAAGACATTTTTGGTTCTAGACTTATAGTGGCTTGGACAATTTTAGTCCTTTATAAAAAAATTTGCCATTTTATGGACAGAGTTATTGTGGCGAGGACATTTTTGGTCCTCCGTCTATATTTTTGTTAGATAACCGTCTGAGAGAGGGGTAATTACGTCAATTTAGGCTATCTCCTTCTATCTATTATATCTATGTGTGTTTTGTTTTCTTCTCGGTCATAATTCGAAGGAGCCGGAGAGTCCAAGTTGCAGTAAAGGCATGGTTGTGGGCAGAGCATTTCGTAGTGCAAAACTACAAATAAATGAGGGTCAGAGTAAATGCATGGTTGTGGGACCAAAATCGTCCATCTCACAATAAAGAGATAGCCTAAATTGACGTAATTACCCCTCTCTCATACGGTTATCTAACAGAAATATAGACGGAGGACCAAAAATGTCCTAGCCACAATAACTCTGTCCATAAAATGACAAATTTTTTTATAAAGGACTAAAATTGTCCAAGCCACTATAAGTCTAGGACTAAAAATGTCTTTTACACTTACAAAAATTTATAGACCATAGTTTATCTTCTAT